ACCTCCAATGGGTGATTTTTTTTCCTGATGCTCATTTTGATCAAATGCAGCCTATGATTCTCACCAATAATGGATGATTAATCTTCAATTTTTCCTGAAATCCAGGAGTTTTTCGTGACTTCTCAATCTGGGTAGTCCTTAGAATTATCAACAACGAGTTTCAACAACAGAGAAGAAAAGAAAAAAATTAGGAACTCCATTACTGAAGTTTAACCTTATTTTTCCAGGCTGCAGAGGTGCCTGGTCATCCGCATCTTTAACCTCATATCCTAAAGATTGATATGAAATTAAACAACCCTTGACAGAACACTTTTCCAGTTGCTTGGTCTGATTCCAACTACATTAAGGTCTCGTTCACTTCGCGGATTCGAGTTTTCAATTTAAGGTGAGATGTGACATTTTCTTAGAGCTTTTCACTGTAATAGAAAAAGTTAGATGTGATATTTTTTGAGAGCTTTTTACTGTAGAAACCTAAAACTCAAAATTCGAATCGGTGAAATGAACCAGGCCTAAGAATACCAAATTTATGGAGCCTGAAGTTGTTCCATTTTGTATTGTCAGGGAGAAAAGGCAGTCACTCAGCAACAATAGAACCTTAAATCCCAGTATATCTGGAACTGAGCAAGACTCATCATGTCCTTCGAAGATGGCATAAAGATTCTCAAGTTTTTTGGAACATAAATTCAGTGAAGTATCCATTGGAAGTTTCCATGACGATTATGATATTGAGAAATCAGGAACAACAAAATTTTCAATGATTGCCAAAACTCCAAGATTGACTCTAGTTGAAGCTTCTCCTACTCCTAGGAGACAGATCACAATGACCAACAAAAGCTTCGAGCAAGTACTTTGCCCTAAGAACCCGATTGAGACAAGGGGCCGCCTCTGCAAATGACAAACTCAGGAAGAGGGAGAAAGAGATATTTATAGTTTTCAATTTATTTAAAAAAAAAAACTCATAATTTTATGAAAATAACCCTTGTAAAATGGTCACATGATGAGTCACGTGACAAATTATGTTAAAATTTTGATAAAATTTAACGGAAATGATCAAATTATACCTGTTTAAAGAGGTTATGGATCGTTTTGCTCAAAAAAAGGTTAGAGACTAAATTGTTACCTACTAAAAAGGTTAGGGACCAATTGTAAAAATTACCCTGTCTTTTATAAAGAATTGGGAAATTATCCTTGAGAATTTTATTACTAATACAAGGCCGCATGTTTTTATATTTTAAGTCCAAAAGTTGCTTCTCATAATTGAAAGTGTTTGAATATTTTCATAAAATATTTTCATAAAAAATTTAAACATCATTTTGGTCTCATTAAACGTGATAAGAATATGAGATTAGACATTAGGGACTTTCTCTTGTGTTCTCTCTTTTTTAGGAACACTGGAGTTTCCTGTTTATTAACAGTCGGATATGTATTAAACCTCGCTAAAAGTCAAATCAGATTGGAGAAGTAATACAAATCTGACGACTGATAAGCATGGAACACCTGTATTCTCAAAAAAGAAGGAACATCCGAGCAATTCTCTAAACATTAATTTGAAAATTGGTAACTTTTACTTTTTTTTTCTGCCTAAGACCATCTCCAATGCAAATGCTAATGTCAATTGTATATTTAGTATTAAAAAGTGTGATATGGTATGTGTTTTCATTTTTACTCCAATGCATAATGCTATTTGAAATGCTAAATCAATTTTTTTCCATAATTATTAAGCTTTGGAAGTTATAAAAATAAACTTTAATTTTTAAAATAATTAGAAAATGTAAAAGTTACAATGATTATATGAAAAAGGTAAACATTTCAATCAAAACTATATTTAGCGGTAAATTTACTGTAAAATATAATATATGAAAAATTTGACATAACAAAAAGTATAATATTAAAAAGTGTTTTTTACACTCAAATGCTTAATTTATAATTGACACATCAATTATAGTAGGGAGAAAGAGGGAAATAGGCCAAGACTTGAGATGAATTAAAATTAATAGGCTAATAGTTTACATAAGTTAATAAATAGGTCAAATTACTGTTTTTGTCCATAACTTGTCTGGTTATGAACCATAACTTGACAAGTTATTGTCCATAATTCACGATTTTTGTCAATAACTTGTCTGGCTATGAACCATAACTTGACAAGTTTATCCATAACTTATCTGGTTATGAACCATAACTTGACAAATTATGACCTATTAATTTCTATAACTAAAAATTGGCCTATATATTTTCTTAAACTTTTCATATTGGCCTATTTTCTACTATTTTCTATTATAATATTGTATTAGAGATACTCTAAAAGCCTAAATAAAAGCAATGCTAAAAGGAGCATCATGAGCAATATTCTATTTTGCATTATCAGTGTACAAGCATTTCTACTATGATAATTACAAAGTAAAGTAGCTAGGATACTGGTCATTTATTGCCACATAAATTCATATTCGGCCTTTTCACATTATGAAAGTAGTAATAGTCACGTGACTGATGACCACGATACAATCTGCTACGTACTGTATATATATTTAGTCACTTTCCATAAAGAAGACAACATAATGTCATAATCATTTAACATATCCATCTCAATACATAATGCTCATACTCTTAACTTGATTCACGACACCATATATAAGAAAACTAATATACATAGAATTAGTGCAAGAGTTAGTTACAATGAAGAAGAAAAAAAGTGTGTTCAATTGGTTATCGTTGTATTAGTAGCTATACTCCAGAGTAGTATGTTTAATCGGTGACGGTTATCTTTTTTTATTTATTTAAATTTCCTATGGTATTATAAAATCTCGTTCAGTTTATTGATTCCGGTTTTTAATTTAAGTTGAGAAGTAATTTTATGTGAGAGTTTTTAACTGTAGCAGAAAAAATTAGATGTGATTTTTTATGAGAACTCTTAACTATAATAAAACTGAAATTGAAAACTCAAATATGTGAAATAAACAATACTTGTCCCTTTTTCCAATTCGCCATTTGTGACTTGTGAGCATACCTTTTCTTCCATCAAATGTTGTACTATTACATATCTATGGCATGTTTATTTATCAAGATTGATGAATGGGAGCGAGGAATGAGAGTCAATCTCATGTTTACTTGCTCTTTTTTATCCTGAAATGAGAGTGGAATTGATGAGCCTCACTCAAATTTAGAATTGAATAATGGAATTGGCACTCACATACTCCCCTCTTGGGATTGGAACTCTCATTCCTAATATCAACATTAAATTACTATTATACCTTCATTTTACTTATAAATATAAAATTAAAATAAATTAAAAAAATAATAATTACAGCTTATGTTTATTATTTTATTTGCGTAATATTATAATATTAATCTAATTATTTTTAACTTCAATATAATAAATATGTGCTTTATTTATTTAATAAATTAATAATATATTTTAATTTTTTAACACTATTTTTATTTATATTTATTTTATTTAAATTTAACAATTTATTTTCATATTTTAAATAATTATACAATTTATATTTATTATCTATTACCCTATTATTACACTAAATATTTTAATTATGATTAATTTTATTATAATAAGTACACAATTTATTTTTTAAATTAAAAAATATAAAATTGACTTAAAAGGTATATTAATACTTTTATAATATTTAAGTTTGATTATTAATGTAAATAAACGAATGAATGAGATTTAAAATGACTCTAATTATAAATTCTATCACTAAATAAATAATTTATTTTAACTTTAATTTCTCAATCCGAATCTTATTCATTTTAAATCTTACCCATGCGATAAATATATTCACCGTCAATTAAAAACTGGTTTAAGCAAAAACTTGCCGAGAAATTGAAATCCACGAAAATTACCATGTTTAACTCTTATATGTATAATGTGCTTTTTTCCCATTTTCATTACCATGACAAATTAACATCATTTTGAGACAGGTGTCTTCAATCTATGTTCTCCCGGAAGAATCGGAAATAAACCCTTTTTCCTATACGAAATAAATATCCATTTAATTTGTTAAATATCATTCACTATGACTCACTAAAATTTGACCATTATTTTGTAACTCTCGAGTAACGTCATTTCGTGATGATGTTTTGATGGAAAGCTGCCAGCACAATTTGCAAGAAAGTAGAAAGTTTTGTGTTTTAAACCTTCTTTAAATGACCAAACTGTAAAGGAACGCACGGGGAACACTTTTCTTGCGTATGAAATTTTTCATTCCATTAGTTTGAACTTTTAATTTTATTTTTATTATAAAATTTTTTTATAAAAAATTACATTTAATTTTTTTATTATAATAAAATTTTTTACATAAAATTATATTTTAATTTAAATTAAAAACTTAAATTTATTTAAATTAAAAACTCGAATTCATTAACTCATTTAACTCAACTGAATGAGATAAAAATTTATCTTTCAAAAATATATTAAAAAAACAATAATTGTCTCAATAAATGACAACCCTGTGCTTTATTAGCTTTACGGGGAAAACCAAATAAAAGTACCCAAGCAAAGATCTAAACAAAAATAATAATAACAATAATAAAAATAATGATATGGACAGTGGTGCAAATTGTGTATCAACGAAATTACATCAGATTTATTATCTCTTTATTGATGGATGTAATTTTTTATTAATTAACATAATAATATTTTAAAAATCTATTAACAAAAAAATAACAATTTAAATACCATATCAATTAATACATAATAATAATAACTCCGATCAATAAGGATTCAATGATGTAAAATTATTTATAGTATAATTATGCATCAATGTTAAAGAATTAAGAGCTGAAACTATTTTTATTTCCGAAAATCTCTTTATACAAAGCTAGCAAGGAAACATAAAACAAGCTCCAACATATTGAGGAGAAAAACAAAATGCAAAATTGGTATACATATATTTACAGGAACTTCACTTGGAGAAGAGGAAAAAAAAAACGTGAAACTTGCCTAGAAATAATCTAATTTTTTCAAATTTTTTGTTGGGATTTTCTTTTTCTTTTTTGTTTGGATTTTTTTTTTCCGTTACGACTGGAATCCGGTTATGATTTTTTTATTAGGATAAGATGGGAATTACAAGAGTTCTTGCATAATTCCTTGCTTGTCCTCCACTGATCAGCAATGTCTTTGGCAATATTAACGGCGTCAGAGGCCGTTCCAAGGAGGCCTCTTCTTGTGAAGCCAACAGTATAAAGACCATTCTCTCCCTTCCAGCCGTTAGGAAACGCGGCATTCCGTCTTTGGTAAAAAAATCACAACTCTGCATACACGCAATCCAAATTAGAATAATTACATTTTTTGCCGTCTACTTTAAAAACTGAAAAATATATATGAAAACGATCAATATAAGAGCAACACAATACATTCTAGGAATTCAATATATTATAGATATATTTTCTACCATACAGATGCAAAAAAAAAAAAAAAGCCTCAAAGGATGGTATATTCAAAAAGTAGAACAGCTCAAACAAATCCCAAGTGATTTTATTCTTTTTTTTTTTTTTTTTTTTTTTTTTTTTTTTTTTTTTTTTTTTGCATGGAGAAAAAAAGAATGGATGTGTAGGTTTGTGGCCGGTCTGTGCATGCCTCCAGGTAGAGAAAGCGATAGGTGATTCATAATAAGATAGAACTAAAAACTAAAAGAATGGCAGCTGGTATTACTATTTTTATATATATTTTTAAATTTATTTATTTATAAATATTACTAATAATATAAATGTTATTACCTTGAGCCAGGTAGGAACGTTGCTTTTGTACCCAGTTGCTAAAACTATAGAATCAAACTCCTTTTCTTGTCCATCCATAAATCTTGCTCCATTCCTCGTTATCTCTTTCACACGTTCCATCACCTGAAAAAAACATTTCGCACAACAACTTCGTCATCCATAATTATAAAGCCACTTAAAAGAATGCAAGAAATAAAAACATAATCGTACACAAAAAATTTGTCAATAATTTTAAGTACCTTGATCTTTCCGCATCTTATTTGGGACAAAGCTCCAACGTCAAGAACAGGAGTTTTCCCGGTGGCATTTTTGAGCTCAATCGGACCGGTTTTCGGCCGCTTAAGTCCTAATTGGTCAGTATTCCCTAATGTGAAGTTTGCCGCTAATAGAAGGATCTTGTCAACTAGCTTTAGCGGTATCCACTTGACAAGCGCCATTGCAATTCCGAACGTTGAGAAGCCTAGTATCTCTCTAGGCAGAACATGGACCTAATAAGCAAATAACCAAAACTAAATTACGACATAAAAAAAGCGTGTAAGTTAAAAAAAAAAAAATATATATATATATATATATATGTGTGTGTGTGTATATATAACACACGAGCAAAAAAAAATTAAACTGTGATTCGAACCGCGGGTTAATTACCGTATTTCTGACAACCATGTGAGGAATGGCATTGTGTCTACAAAGGTCCAAGCTAACTTCCATGCCAGAATTCCCACACCCAACGACCAAGACCCTCTGGTTTCTGAACTGAAACCCGGACTTATACCCGCTGGTGTGAACAACCCTCCCTTGAAACCTGTCAATCCCGAGAATCTCGGGCACAACGGGGTCGGCGTTCTCGCCGGTAGCGACGATAAGCCAGCGAGAAATGTAGACGGAATCGTCGGTCCGGACGGTCCAGAAGCCGGAAAGGGGATCGAAGTTGGCGGTGTGGACGTTCTGGTTGAAGCGGGGCTTGATGTTGAAGTGGGCAGCGTAGGATTCCATGTAGGAGATGAACTGGTGCTTGGTGGGGTACTTGGGGAAGTGTTCGGGGAATCCGAGGAAAGGGAGCTCGCAGAAGTGCTTGGGGAGGTGGAGTTTGAGGCGGTCGTAGGTTCGGTGTTGCCACAGAGAGGCTATGCAGTCGCTTTTCTCGAGGATGAGGGAAGGGATGTTTTGTTTAGAGAGGGAAGCGGAGACGGCTAAGCCTGATGGCCCTGCGCCTACTAGGATTGGGCCTTGGACCAAAACTGTAGTCGTGCTGCATGGTTTTGGCGTTTGTTGTTGTTGTTCTTGTTTGCAAGAACCCATGTTGGGGAAATGAGGAAAGTCTCAAGAAAAGTGGGAAAGAAACGATAAAGATCAAGAAGAAATGAGAAGGCAAAGCTCTGTTCTGAAAAGACAGGACAAGTTTGCTTTGCTTTTTTGAGAATTTAAAGAAAAGGGTTAGGATTGGAGATGATGAAGAAGAAGAAGAGTCAAGAGAGAGAGAGATCAGAAGGAGAGAGAGAGTGAATTTTTAATGCTTGGAAAGAAGACAGGGCAGGGGAAGAGGGAAAAACAGAGGTTTTTATTGCGAGAAGTGAGAGATGGAGAGAGAAAATTTTGAAGAGCAAAAAATAAAAAGACTTTGAGAGAGAGAGAGAGAGAAGAAACGATTTTACACCAGAGATGAGTGAGTGAATTAGTGAATTTACGACGGAAAGAGAAAGGAAAAGATTTGAGAGGTGTAAATGGAGGCGTGAAGGTTAAGGAAATGATTTGGTTTCTATTTCTCAAGGCCCTTTTCTCCACCAGGCTTAGTCTCTGCAGGGCAAGGGCTTTAGGGGGTGGGGGGAAGTTGGGAGGGAGTTAAAAGTATTAAGTAATAATATATATAGTTGTTGTAGTAGAATAGAAGTAGAGGTAGTACTAGGCAAATGGGCAAAAACGCTACGGATATAAATACATTTATGTTTTAGAGGAGTGAATGATGACGTGTCCACCTGTCCCACGACTCCCCAAGATCAATTATTTAAATAATATTATAAATTATAAAATACCCTCTCGCTCTCTACTCTAAATACTACTTGCAAAACAGCCGGCCAGCCATCGGACTGGGGAACGAAAATACCAATTCACCTGTCTGCGCTGCAAAACTTTGAAGGAAAACTACAAAACGAAGAACAGAGAAAATCTTTCCGTGAAAACAATGGTACATCATAAAATATATGATGAGTGAGTTTTATTCGCTCTTGTAGTATCGTTTTACACTTAATATTTAGTTAGTTTTTAAGATTTTTGTTAGTTTTTATGTGTGTTTTTATTTTTTATCTTTTATTCGCTCTTGTAGTATCGTTTTACACTTAATATTTAGTTAGTTTTCAAGATTTTTGTTAGTTTTTATGTGTGTTTTTATTTTTTATTTAAAAGTTAGGTGAAAGTCTATGATTTAGAAGGATTTGGACAACTTTTAGTAGAAAAAGAAAGCAAACACAGCGCTTCGGTGCTAATTTATAGCGTTTTGATGCCCATGACAACGCTGCAGAGCCCATGAATTTTGCATAGCCAGTGCCGCAGTACTAGGACCTCAGCGCCGTGGCGCTACGACGCGAGAAAAGACGTGTTTAGAAGGTTAATCGTGAGAAAACTTACCCGTTTTGACCCTAATGCTTGAAAACATATAAATAGATGATTCTAGGGCTATTAAAGGGACTTTTAGACTAGAGAGTGACGGCTGACTTTTGAGAGAAGATTCAAGAAGAGAAAGGAGAATTGAGTATGGAGAAGAACAACGGAAAAAATCCGGAGACAGAGACGCTTCAATTCAACTCAAAACTAGTTCTTTTCTTTCCTTTCCAATGATTGAGACTTTGTTTAGGAACTTATTTTATTTAGAGATGAGTTAATTTCTTTTTCTAGGGTTACGATGTAACCGGATTATAAATGTTCAGATTCTCAATTTTCTTTTTAAGTAATTGATGTTTAATTCATATATGTTGAGTATTTTAATTTATTCTTAATGCTTGTGATTGTTTGGCCAACTATTACATGATATTGTGTTTGATTTGAGACTGAGAGGTGATAATTAAATAAGCTCTTAATTGAAATACCATAAGTTGTTCATATGATAGATATATCTATGATGCTTGTGCAATTCTTTTGAATTTCTTGCACTTAATGATTTTCAACAGGTTTAATAGTCTGACAGAGATATAGAGTTTGCTTGTTGGATTAATATTATTGTTACTTGAGAAAAAATAATAATTGCTTTAGAGAAATTATTGTCAGTATATGATTGAATGTTAATTTTCTTGAATTATGGGAATTTGAACAAAATTAATTTTGGTGAAATCGAAAACCCTAGAGTCTTAATCTATTGAATTTTATTCCACTGCTTAGCGTTGTTTAATTTATTTAATCATTTTAGTTTTACTTTACTTAATTTTATAAACTCTCTTTTCGATTATTCAAATAAAATTGGGGCTAATATAATTTCGGTAATTAGTAAACAACAATCCTTGTGGGACAAAACTCTTATTCACTATTATATTACTTGATTGCGATAGCGTATACTTGCGTTACGATTTTTCACAACAAGTTTTTAGCGCTGTTGCCGGAGATTTTTTTTTTTTTTTTACTAATATCGATACCAAATAACTCTAGTTTTACTTTGGATTTTATTTTGTTATTTATTTTCTTGTTCTTGTTTTGTACTCTATAGGAATTTACTCTACGTGCATGCGAAAGCTTGGGAGCAGTATTCTACTTCCTCTTGATTCAGAAATTGAGCGTACTTGTCGAAGAAATATAAAAGAGAAGAGAGAAACTGTCATTCAGTCGCAAGAAACTATGGCTGATCCTGAAGGGCAATAAATGATAACAACAACAATAACATAGCACTGAACAATCCACCGGTGGTCAATCAGTTAATGACTTTGCGAGATTATGCATTGCCACCAACCGGTGTTCAATCAGTAATCAGGAGGTCTGCTATTCAGGCGAATAATTTTGAATTGAAGCCGGTGATGTTACAGATGATTCAAGCGATCCAATTTAATGGATTACCGAATGAAGATCCTAATGCTCACATCACAAATTTTTTAGAGATTTGTGATACTGTCAAATACAATGAAGTTAATGATGAAGCTTTTCACCTTTGTTTGTTTCCTTTCTCTTTGAGAGATAAAGCAAAAAGTTGGTTTAATTCACTGCCACCAAATTCGATCACTAGTTGGGAAGACTTAGTTCAGAAGTTCATTTCTAAGTTTTTCCCATCGGCTAAAACAGCGAAGATGCGCATTGAGATCAACAATTTTGCTTAATATGAAGGTGAAACTCTATATGAAGCATGAGAGAGATATAAAGAGTTACTGAGAAGATGTCCTCATCACGGTCTACCTAAATGGATGCAAGTCCATAATTTCTACAATGGGTTGAGTGACACTACAAGAACTCTGATTGATGCATCTGCAGGAGGTGCTTTAATGAAGAAAACCGAAGATGAAGCGTATGAGTTGCTAGAAGATATGGCAACTAATAATTACCAGTGGCCTAGTGAAAGAAGCATAGCAAAGAAGACAACCGGACTGCATGAGATTGATGCTATCACTAATCTGACAGCCCAAATTGCTTCTCTTTCCAAACATTTGCAAAATAATCAGCTGACAACTAATGTTATTCAAGCATCATCTTCAGTTTGTGAATTTTGTAATGGGCCTCATCAAGGTTCTGAATGTCAAGCTGACAACCCTTTTGCACAAGTACAAATAGAGCATGCTCAATATGTGGGAAATTTTAATAGGCAACAAAACAATCCTTACTCCAATAGGTTTAATCAAGGATGGCGTAATCACCCAAATTTGTCTTGGAGAAACACTCAAAATGTGTTGCAGCCTGAACAGAGCAACCCACCACAAGAGGAGAAGGTAAATCTGGAAGATGCAATGGCTCAATTGCCTACCTCTCACACACAATTTATGAATGAAACCATGACAAATTTTCAGAATCAATCGGCTCAGATCAGAAGCTTGGAGGTGCAAATCGATCAATTGGCTAACATGCTAAATGATCGTCAACAAGGTAATTTTCCAAGTACAACGATGGTGAATCCAATAGAGCAATGCAAGGCCATTACTTTGAGAAGCGGGAAAAAATTAAATACACTCCCAGAGCCTAAGAAGTCTAGCAAAAGTAGTGAAGAGGCTTCGTTACCCAAAGATACTCAATCTTTGGAGAAGAGTGGTGAAATTTCTACAGCTCAACAACCTTTGCCGGTGGAGCCTTCATGAAAAATCCCGTTGCCTTAACGCCTTCGGAAGAGTAAGCTTGATAAATAATTTTTAAAGTTTATGGACATCTTTAAAAAATTGCACATAAACATCCCAATCGCCGAAGCTCTTGAACAAATGCCAAGCGATGCGAAGTTTATGGAAGACATCATGTCAAACAAGAGGAAACTTGATGATTATGAAACAGTTGCACTTACTGAAGAGTGCAGTTCCATCTTGCAAAGGAAGTTGCCTCAGAAGCTCAAAGATCCAGGGAATTTTACCATCCCTTGTTCTATTGGAAATTCTATTTTGAAAAGGCACCATGCAATTTAGGTGCAAGCATTAAATTAATGCCTTTGTCAATTTTCAAGAAACTTCGGCTAGGAGAAGCAAGACCAACTACGGTCTCATTACAATTGGCCGATCACTCCATCAAACACCAGAGAGGAATTATTGAAGATGTACTCGTCAAGGTTGATAAGTTTATATTTCCAGCCGATTTTATTGTCTTGGATATAGAAGAAGATAAGAAAATTTCCATTATACTTGGGAGACCATTTTTGGCAACCGGTCGGACTCTCATTGATGTGCAGAAGGGTAAACTTTGCCTACGAGTACAAGAGGAGGAGGTGATTTTCAATGTATTTAATGTTCCCAAATACCTGCAAGCGGGTGATAGTTGTTTTCAAATTGAAACAATTAACACCTTGGTCACTGAGCATCTTGGCCAACCTCAAGAGCCTTTGGAAGCTTGTCTAATTTATCCGGAAACTATTGCAATAGAAGATCATGAAGCTATGGAGTTTGTGCCCTGGATGGATTCTTTTGGACCTAACAATCGGAGGTACTTTGAAGCTTTGGGACGAGGCCCATCACGCCCTCTTCCATCAATGGAGAAACCACAGACGCTTAATGAGATGGTTGAGTTCCGTAATGATGCATATGAGAAGCCAAGATTTACAAGGAGCGAACTAAGGCTTGGCATGACAAGCACATCTCAAGAAAAGAGTTCAAGCTGGCCAACAAGTGTTGCTTTATAATTCAAGGCTGCGCTTATTTCTAAGAAAGCTCAAGTCCATATGGTCAGGGCCATTTACCATGGTGACAGTATTTTCCTATGGAGCAGTTGAAGTTACACATGATGCGAAGGGAACATTCAAGGTCAACGGGCAATGTTTGAAGCCATATATTAATGGTGGCTTTGATCAAAAGAAGGCCACCATTCTCCTGAACTCACCATAAGAAGCAAAATGTCGGGCTGATGATGTTAAACCAAGCGCTTCTCGGGAGGCAACCCGAGCCTTCTGAAATCTTTTCTCTTATTCATTATTCCATAGATTTTTTTAAATTTAATTAA